TTTGTGTTGTCTTTTTGAAAACTGCTAATAGGGATTTTTTCTGGATATCACTTTCTTAATATTAAAATAAGTTCATCTAAGTTTTGTAGAGCTGGTAGTTGTCGTTTTTTGTTGGGTAAAACGAGCTAACTTAAAAATTTATATACTCCTATGCTGCGTGGCCCTAAGGAGGTAAGGTTAACAGAACACTGTCAAGTGGAATATGCTTTACCTTTGGGGACGGTCTTGGCTTGGAGATTGGGGGCCTGATGATGAGTAAAAATTGCTTATTGGCAGGTTTCGTTGTTTTTTCCTGCACTTGGTTTACCACATTGTCTGCAGTGATTTCTCCCTCTCTGAGGAAGGGAGAGAGGAGAGAATACTGGAAGGGCAGTCTGGGGATACGTAACTGTAGATACTTTTATCTCACTATATCCTTCCTATTAAACTTCCTCCATAATGGTGGTATGCTCTGTAAATTACCTAGCAATATTTTCTATTTACGATTCAAATTGCACACACAGGTTGGTGGTTTTGGGGGTTTTGTTTTATTTTTTGTTTACTTTTGCATTCAATCTGATGTTGAAACAAAATTATATGCTTGGTGAAGGGTGGCTGAACCAAATAACTGCTACAGTGTCCTGGATAATAATAGGTTACTAAAGAAGTACTGCAGTAGTCTCTTCAATGTTGTGCTTTATTCTGTTGTTCTGAGTTAGTGTTCATCTGTTACCTTTTTGCGGGCCTCAGAATTCTATTTTCTGATACTTATGCTGTCTTAAGCCAAATACAGTATAGTTAATACAAAGCATGTGATCATTCTTTACCGAAAAACCAAGTACACGCCTGTCAATGGAATAGGAAAATTATAATCAAATTCATGTTTTATGCCTACTTTCTTGAAGGAACTTTCAGGAATGTGAAACTCAGTGTATAGGATTTTTTAAGTTTTTCCATATGTGAAAACTTGAGCATAATGTAAAAAATTCAGAGGAAAAACAGTAGGATGAAATTTCTTTTCGCTTGCTCTAGAAATATGAATGTTTTTAATGCAGTAGAGAAAATAGTGTAATTCCCAAAGTCAAAATATGCTTTATGCACTTTGTTTCTACTTCTCATCTGATGTTGCTATATAGAAAAAGCAGTGTTGAGTAGGAGCTGTTCAGGCAGATTTTTTCAATAAAATCTCTGCTCGTTTCAGCCCTTGCCCCTTATTCATGTTTGCTTTTATATGCACAGGTGTGTCTGGTCAAACTCATCTTATTTCCTTGAGAATTTTAACTGCTTTTCAGTTGTGTTTATGTATCATGCACTTACTTATTTTAAGGTGGTTTAAAAAAATCTGGGAGTGCTGAGAAACAGGAATTGAACAGTAAAATGCTAATTTCTTAAAGACGGTTATCTTGGAGTTCAATATTGCACAATATGGGAGCAGAACAACTTATACATGTGAAAAGTAGGTATTGCAGATGTTTTGAAAGTGTTAAATAAATCTTTTGTTCCTGTGGTCCTGTAGAACTTGACCTCAGTTTCAAGTTAGGGGACTTAAGGTCACAACTTATTGGATATTTTAAGAGAGTTACAACTTCCAATTAAATCTAGCTCTTTTTTTCTTAGTTGAACCATCTGCGTTCTTTCATAGTCAGATGCAAGTCATGCACATTTTCTGAGGACAGGAAGGGACAAGATACCTTGTTCAAAAAACTTATATATGTGCACACATTTCCAAAAGTTGTTCAGAGCAGAGAGGAGATCCTGCCGTGCCGTAGGGAAACTCTGTTGCTGTGGGCTTTATTTCTCTTGTCTTTTTCTTGCAAAGTTCAGGTTATTTAAAGATCAAAAGCAGTACTCCGCTAGGGTTATGCTAGAAGGCTTTTGGCCTCTGCAGTCATGGCCAGAAGGAATTGTTCTTGAAACCAGGAAGTTAACTGTGCTAGTAGATTACTGTTTCTTTCATTACATTTTTGACAGATTTGAGTAGACCGTCTTTTGTCTTAAGGCATATATTCCTACTATTAAGACTAATATTACTGTGATCTAAGATAAATAATAACTTTTGTGGCTTAGGTCTCTTGCTAACCTTTTGGGAGACTTTGCCTTGTATGCTAGGTTACTAGAAATTGCGTATAGATTAGTATGCAGGTTCCATTTTTTGTCTTCTATGGTAAATGTTGTTCCTCCACTAGCAGTGATACACTACGTGTGATGAAAGGTGAGGTCTTTCGGTGGTAAGAGTAACCCTGGAGAAATGATAGCTGATGCTTCTGTTTCTACTGATTAGAAATCGGAATAAGAAAATAGGTTTCATGACTCGGTAAAGGTAAAAGACACTCGTACCGTAAGTTAATAGAGAGCTCATACCGTACGTTAATAAAAGCTGACCATTAGGAAAGGATGGAGACGAGCATGTCTCGTGAAGCTATGTCTTCCTGCCACACAGATTACCAGATGTACATGTATTGTGTGGTTGGGGTAGGTTCACCATGGTCATGTAACTTGTTGTTCCTGTGTAGTGTGAAGCATGGTTGGACATTGAAGTCTACAGATTGAGGTTCATGGCCCTCGTGAGGGGGGTGAGGGAAAAAGCTTACAGATCGGTTTGTCTGGCTATGGCTTGCTCTCTCCCTCCTCTTCTCTTAAGGACATCACTATGGGCGGAAAGCAGGGTGTTAGGTAGGTTCTCACAGCTGTTCCCCACTGCCCTTTTTCACAGGGTTTTCTAGGACTTCCATTTTTACACAACTGGCGGCACATCTGATGCCTTTATGACTGTGTAATGGCTCACATGTTAGATGTAAGGTAAAGGGAGCATTTCCAAAAAAGGGCTTGGACCTTTTTTGAAAACTTTGAAATTCATGGCCACGTGAATTGACAGTGCCTGCAGCTTGCTTCCTTGTCCCACATCCAAGAGACCCTTAGGGAAAATAAGATGGCCGTGGCTGGGCAGTAGCAGGGCAAATGGGTTTGTGTGATAGACTCTGTGGACTGGCTATATCACAGCACTTAGAAATGGTGGCATGACAAGGAGAGTGCTTTTTCTTGCACAAATGGCCTTTTCTAGATCTCATCTGAATAACGATGATGTCTTGTCTCTGCTGTGCTGCAACAGAGATACGTTCGTGTTTGGCGGGTCCTCATTCAGTGTCTCGTGCATGGAAAGCAACAGCTCAGACATCTGGAGACCACGCAGTCGTGATTATATTCAACTTCATAATAAATCAGTGTTCCAATAATTTGTGAGCGTTGGCCACACTCTTCTAAGAGCCATTGGCTAAAGTATCAGCTAGTCTACTTAATTATCTAGAAGAAAGGAAGCAAAAAGAAACACTCCTTTTTTTCAGCAGTGTGGTGGTTCTTTTGTTCATTCTTTTTGGTGGGCAGGAGTGAGTTAAGTAGAAGATACAGCAAGGGAGATGAAAGCACAGCAGAACAGATGCTCAGAACCGGGTGGGGAATTACCCTGCATTGATAAGGAGAGGGAAGAAATACACTCCGTGTAAGCTCCCTGTATCTCATTCGTGGGTGTACAGGATCCAGGAAAGGGAGAAGAAGAGAGGAAAATAACAGGCTTTCACCTGTGAACTCCTCTTATGACTGGGGAGAAAAGCTGTAGTGAAGATTTACTGGCTGCTTGGAGAAAGGTTCAGATCCTCCTGGAAATTCTTTGAACCAGCCAAATTATTTCGGTAGACGTTCCTTTTCAGACTGAGCTCTGTAATGTGCGCCTCATCTGATGAGAGTTTGTAGTCAAATGACAAGTGTAAAGTGTCATGATGAAAAATCTGCCAGTTCTTTTTGGTCATCTTGTTTCATTCATAATTAAAAGCAAACTAACAATTTTGTGTATTCCTATAAGAAAATACCAAAAACAAAAACCTGAACTTTTTATTGCTACAAACTTCAACTTTTTATTGCTATCCTCTCTGTTGGTATGTGGAGAATGCTAGCTCAGATTAAGTGGTTTAATTTAGTTTGTTGTAATCTATGTAGACTATCTGGATTTTTTTGTCAATGGTGCCCTGCTTAGTTTGCCTACTAATATTGTCACTTTTCATAGGCGTTTTGAAAAAAGATGGTGAAGAAGATGACCAAAGGCATTGTGCCTGTCTATCTATGCTTAAATAGGTAGTTCTTACAATTAACTTAAAATTGGCAGAACTTTAAGTTTAAATACTGCTTTTTTTGTTTACTGCTCTGTAGTTAGTGGTCTCAAGTACAGATTTCAGTATTATGCTGGAGTGGGGGGAAGGTCTCTCTGTTTCTTGGTGTTCAGAGGGCTGGCTCACTCTTACCCTTAAATTTTCAAAACAGGTGTATGGTATGTTATGGTATGGTGCCAGGTATATATGGATAGCCATATATACCTATATCTTATTAGAGCTTTCAATACATGGGTTGCCTGTAAGGACATTTTAAAACTTTTACTTGTTGGTGCTCAACTTTGGACAAGGTTCGGCTTGTAAATGAGAGTTGCATTTTTTCCCTCTCTCCAATTATGTGGCCTACAGCCAGCAGAACTTGGTTAATAATCTGATTTGTTTTGTCATATGGAAGAATCAGTTTGAAATTAATAGGTTATGGGGTTTTTTTATGTTGCTTTTTAATACTGTAAAACCTAGGCAGTGTTAAGTAATTGAGAAAGTCTGAGTGTTGTAATAAGTGTTTACTAATATATTTAAGCAATCGTAAAGAAAATGGTTATTGAGTAGATGTCGCAGGTAAACAACACGTGGTGGTCTGTTTTAACTGGAAGCCCTGATGTAATGGCTGCTTCTGCTAAGGAGAAGATGGATAATCCCCCCTAGACTTAGTCTTTCATGGAAAGATACAAATTGTTGTTTCCTGTAGGCTAAATGAAGACGAGCTGTTTGATATATGCCTTGTGAATACTAAATGTTAAGAACAGGAGGTATGTGGTTCTGAAGTATATGGAGCCTTGCGTTAATGTCTAAACGTATATATTCCTCTGTGACTTTGTTTATATATTTGATTACAACTGGAACTTTTCTTTTTTCCTTCAGGGAAACTGTATCAATCTGACCGATGCCTTGACTCTGTATGAAGAACAGCTCAGCAGGCTTTATTGTCCTGTGGAATTTTCAAAAGAAATTGTATGCGTTCCCTCCTACATGGAATTGTATCCTTAAAGACTAAAAGGGGTGGAGAGTGCATATTAACAAATAAGTGAGTCTAGGCTGCTTGGAGGTAACAAATTCAAGTACAAGAAGGCAGATGTTCTTTTTTCATAGTAAATGAACGACTGTAGTTTTATTTTGAAGGTGATGACTGCAGTAATTATTTTATTTTTAAAGGTGCCATAAATTCAAAGGTGCTGAGATGCTCAGTACCTTTCAAGATCGTGCCATGTTTTGCTTAATTTTTTTGAGTGTTGTCGAGTGTTTTGTTTCTGCAGTGCAGGATAATCGGTATAATAAGAATAATGCTGCCTGGGAGTTCTGGCAGAGCTGTGCCTTGTTTGTCTTCTTTCATGGAAAAAACAGACTAATCTCATAGACAGAGTAGCATGAACCAGATCATCAGATATTCTGTGATAGATCTATTCTTGACCATATGATTCAAACTAGGTATTAATGGAAAAAAAAACCCAGATTCGTAAAAGCCATTATGAGCAATACTAAAAAAATCTTCTAGATGTAGTGAATAGGCACATTTCTTTGCAACAAGTGAAAGAAGAACCTCTTGCCAGTCTTTTCTATTTTTCTTGTTATCCCCACTCCTAAAAATATTCCTTTAGAATTTCTTCACTTTATGGGTAATAGATAAGTTATACAAGGAGTTAGAATTTATGTCTTCAAGTAATTAGCTCTAGAAAGACATTTTGATCAGCTGTGGGATGGTTCTGCTGGCTCCATGTGCCTTAGATGTTGCATTACTCTTTCATGTGATCTCCCTGGAACTAACTCTACAGGGTAACGCCTGCTCTAGCTTTCCGTTTCCTAACAGAAAAAATCTTTCCAGAATCTTCTCACTCGCAATATGTTAGGCCTGTGAAACCCTGAAACAGTCTTTCTTCTATTTTGTGTGCTCATTTATCTTTTTTTTTTTTTTTTTTTTTTTTTTCCTATCTCTAATCTTGATATACTCTCTAATGTTGCAGCTTTCTGTTCTGGAGGCTGTACTAACCACTTCTTCTATTAGAAGGAACAAGCTTCCCTCTAGTTCTCATTCTTATCGTATCACCAGTGAAATTCAGATTTCATATGAAAACATTTCCAAGACAAAAAAGTAAGGGTGAAATGAAGTGCATATGAAGCAATTTACTCTGGCAGCTTACCTTGCAGATATACTTTGTTAGTTATCATTGTTTTTAATTACAAATAACCATGCCTTAATGCAACACGTACAATGATTTGAATTATGCGTTCTCAGGAAGTTCTCTAAATATTTATTGCATTGTTTATTCGGATATAGGGCAAAATGTTTCTAAGCGAATTGAGTGGGATATGCTACTTCATTCCTTTGGAAAATAAACGTTTCTAGTAAGCTAGCATATATGAAAGTTAGTAATAAAATTTTTTAAACTGGCAATTAAATCAGCATAATTAGATTAACAGTGAACAGCTCTTAAAGAGAAACAGAGCATGTTTTAGTTCACTGTTTCTGACTGCACTGGCATCCTATGAGATAACAATATACAAATAGGAATGTTAAAGAGGAAATAATCTTGATGACTTCAGATAAGCCTATAGCAAAGTAAGATGCATAGTAACGAAACCCTTGTTTATTTGTTTAAGTTGGTCTTAGACCTCTGATGTGCTTTTACCTGCATTTCAAGTAACAGGTGTTACCACCTTTCTTAAAATTTGAGAGACTTCCAAACAGGAAGCATACATCTGAATGGGAGATTATACCTAAATGCTGTTTCACAAGTGACTGTGAAATGCAATTGTTTACAGTAATATTGTGACAATTAAGAAGATGCCTCTCTTTCTCTCTGAATGTTGTGATATTCATTTAGTTCTTGGAACCTGTGAGCCATCAAACTATTCTTATGCAAATGCTAATTTTCATAATCTAACCGAAAATTAGCTGCATGAATACCTGAATGCAATCAAAATACTGACCTGGGTTGTTGCTTTTTATTGTTACGTATTTTGCATACTTCCAGAATTTGAATTCCAAGTAACAGTTAAACACGGAAGCAGTGTTTACCCGTGTTGCAGTGGGGATCATCTGAAATTCATGTAGCTATCGACACAGAAGCTAACTCCCTATTTTAAAGAAGGCATATATGTCACTGAGGTCACCACTGAGACCCTGTGATGAACATTCAGGATCCCATCTGGAGTATATATGACTTCACTGTGTAAACAGAAGAGCATATATCTTTATGCGGTTTTACTTTGGTTGTACTAATCTATAAATCATAGAAAATGTGCCTTACTCACAGCTGTTGCAGTAATTCTAAAAATGAAAGTGATGTTCATGTCTCATCCTCCTGTCTGCTCCTCAGGAAGCACGAGGAGTTAGGTAGCTCTGCCTTCTTTCACATGCCCAGAATGACAAGAGAACTGGGAGCTCTTGAGGATCGGTTATCTGAGCTGCTAGGGACCCTTGGTTTGGGGATGGCTGCTGTAGGATTGTGCTGAAGGTGGATCCGTCTGCACCAAAGTAGGGGGTGGCGCGTGGTTAGAGTGCGGTCGTAGCTGTCAGCAGCTGTTACTTGCTTCCACCTCCAAGTCTGCACAACGCAAAGGGCCACTTATTAAAAATAAGTGCTCAGGAGCCTTAGGCCAACACCACAGAAGCTTATAGAGAAACTTGGGCAAAATTCAGATGTATCTGTTTAAGTGAGCATTCCAGAGAAACCCTACTGAGGCATTTAAGAGACATTAGGCAGTTAAATCTTTGCCCAGTAAAGTATCTGGACACTTAGTGTTCTGCTTCTGAGCATCTTAGTGTTGCATCTGATCATGCCTGCAATTAGGATTTGCAAGTTAGCAAGCTGGAGGTCACTTTCCTATTCCAACTTGCCACTTTACAATCAAGAAGATGAGCCGGAGGGATCCCAGTTCAGTGGACACCTGATCAAAGACCTGGAGTTTTGATTGCTCCTTCCAAATTGTTTTTGTAGTTCATTTAGTGGTTGCAATGCAAAATGCACAGCCTGACTCTGCAGTAGGGATTAGAATCAATGGGCTTGCAAAGGACTTCAATTTCAGCGAAAATGAGGTGCTCTTTTGAGTTGCTGAGCGAAAAAAGAAGGTCCACAGAGGTTTCACTTTGAGACTTTTACCTACCTCATCGTTATGAGCTACCGGAAGTTTCCAAAATGGAAATATAAGTGAAAAGAACTACTTCCACTTTAACTATGTACTACACACATTGTTTTTTTTTTTTTCCTTGACTGTTTGTTTTTTCTAGATGGGTGTTCTACAGTATTTGGAAGAAACAAACGGAAGTCTGAACATCGAGATTTTTCAAGATTATCCTAAGCATACATGCTGCATGGAGCATATAGGCCTGCCACGTGCTGCATATTGGCATCTTGAACCTTTAAATTATATGCTGTAGATGATCCTGAAACTTAGTCATGCTATTGATTGTGAATTCTTTAAATGTTTTTTATTATTATTTTAATTTAAAAGCAAATGGAAAATGTATATTTTGATGAGCTGGGGTGTTATTTTTGAAAGTCAACTTAAAGATGAATAAGCAGCAAAACTATGTAGCTGCTGAATGCACTGAACCTTTAGAATGTGATCCTTTTTATTTTTTGTAGATCTTCACAAACTGATTGATTAAAAAAGACATCTTTAGCATTTCATCCCTGAGGGTGGTCCATGGAGTTTTTGTTTTTTGTTTTGTTTTCCCATCAAATTTTTATCTATGGTGCTTTTCGAGGCTAGAGGAGTGGTTTTTTTTGTTATGATTTTTAAATGAACGCTGCAGTGCTTCCACAGAGAGAAGGGCGGCAAAAGTTTAAAAAAAAAAAAAGGGGGGGGGGAGGGGGAATCTTGTGAAAGGATACCCCAAATCCTTCATTAAAAAGGGAAGAAAGCTAATCTTAAATTTCGTTGATTTATTCTAGTGTCATTCATCATATTGCTGTAATCTCTTCTGCAGAAGAAGAATCTTTGATCTTTTGCTTCATGGTGTTCTTTAGCAGCCATACTGATATTTGGATTTTAATATGGATTTAACAGTAGGTTATAGAGCCACTTTGAAATCTATGAACGTGACAATTAATACTGATTTTTCCATCCCACCACAACGCAAAAAACTGAGTGTAATGAGGTCCCTGTGGTCATACATTCCTCAGCCTTATGGGAAGCACTGGGTTCTTGAAGAACAAAAAGTCCCTTAGGAGGGAAAAGAAAAGTGGATGTGATCTAGATTCATGTGCACCAGTATTTCTTGAATGATTTGGAGCAAATACGTTTACTTCAGTAGAGTAAGTCCTGGCTGAATTGCTGCAAACTGACCATGTTGTGTGGGGCGCTTGCTCAATTAGATTCACGTTAAAACTCACTGGAAGATAGGTTACATTGTTGTTTTAGTTCTGAAAGATAAAACGTTTTTCTTCAACTGTTTTTCATGTCTGAAAAGTTATATTTTTGTAAAAATGTGCTGTTTGCTAACTAAAACTTTGCTTTAAGGGTTTGAGAGATCCCACTTGAAAGAACGCAGGAAGAATATAACCTGTACATTTCCAAGATAGAATAAAATTTCCCTAAACACTAATCCTGAACCAAAATGATACTATCAATGAAAACAAACAAAACCACACACCCAAGATCTGTGTTGTTAAACAGTCAATAAAGAACTATTTTACTTTTTCCCACATAAAAACTGATGCTGAAATCGGAGTAGCGTGTTTAGAATTCCAGAGTGATATTGGAAAACTTGCAAAAATTGCCCTACGTTTGGTGTCTCGTTATTTTTGCGTGTACAGTTGTGCTGTTAAACTGCTTTCAGTTTGGAGCATCAGGAGAAATACTCTTCATTCTTACTGTTTTAAATGATTGCAGTCAGTGCTAATTCTTCAGTATACATTAGGCACAGTTGTTTCATGGCCTACAGCCTGTATATCCGTAACTACTTCAAAGAGCAGAGCCTCCCTCTTGAACAAGAGAATAGTCTTGCGTTTCCCCAAGTGTTTTAGCTGTTGTATCCATTCCAGAAAATGCCTTGAGACTATTGCCTATGGCCTAGTAGTAACCGCTAATGTATGATATGGGACTGCGATCAGTATATTGTGTAGGGTGCAAATTAATGCACATGTCCTGTAGACAGTTGTGTGTATCCTTAACTTTGCGTGCATGAATATTCCCGTTAATTCCGTATGTGATTACTCATATAGGTGGTATTAAGCACACAGGTGTTCACTAGGACAGGGCTTACAGGATATGCTTTCCTGAGTGAGCTTGATAGATAGAAATCAGGTACAACAATGGGTGGGTGGTAGATTTTTTTTGATATATTTTTTTTGTTTGTTCATTTTTGGAAACTTATGAACTGGAAGGTGATTAATACAGTTGCTGGCTTGCTGTACCAAGGCTAGCGCTTTTCTTTGGCTTAGATGCACAAAGCTGCCTAAACACAAAGATTTTGGGGATAGGGGGATGTTCTGTATCAGTTCCTTGAATGACCAGAGGACCCAAAACTTGGTGGATTAGGTTGTTGGTAGGTGGAGGGCAGCAGTGCTTGGAATTTTTTTCTTTTCATTTGTTACAGTGTGAAGATTTACTGAGAAATTACTTTTTTCTTTTCTTCAGACCTTTTAATATAGTTTCTTTTAAATTGATAGATGTAGTATAAAGCAATTCAGCAAACACTGAATATTGCTATCCTATTTTTTTAAGTTGCTGAACTGATTCTGAGGAAATACATATGCATTGTTAGTTTTTATTTATTTGTTGCTGTAGAGAAAATTAAAAATAAAATTTTGTGATAGATTTTTCAAAAGCAAACTACGATAGCTGATAGCAGTTTTTCATGTTTAAGGCCAGTTGGGAAATAGCTATGATTGCCGCACTGTGTATGCAAACAATTCCCAAGAAGTGATTGACGTGACTTTTTTTTTTAAATTATTCTTTGCACTAAATGCTGCTTCCACCTAGAAATGTGATTTAAAATTTAAAAACCTGACTAATAGTAGTTTGTGCAAAGAGAAGATTGCTGGCATTGTATCTGCTGCATCAGTGCAGTGCACATGTTAAAATAAAGGTACGCTGTTCTTACTTGTGTGTTTGAATTGTTAAATACACCATAGATTCAGTGTTAAAATGACAGAATTAATGGGTATGAGACTGCTTACCGTTGTAACTCTTCCTCCATTTGTCACTTAACAAACGTACAAAGATACTTAATGGTCCTTCTGCTGAATATATCTTTTCTGCTTCTCACAGATTAGTTATTTCAATTCTTTACCACATAATATATTCTTGGATAAGACATTCTGTAGCATAGAACAGCATTTTGATGTTTGCAATGTGGAAGATCACTGATGCTTCACAGTGATTATTGCCTAGGACTATGGAATACTGCAGTGTTAAAGAATTTCTTCAAGTTTTTCTGCTGGAGTAGCAAGGTGGCTTTACGTGCCTGTGTGACTCGTTGTGTGGCATAGAGAAAAGATAAGTTCAGAAGAAATAAATGAGGCATTAAGGAGGACACCAGCTTTGGAACAGAACTTTGAGGAAACGGGGAAGGACATGAGCAGGACAGGCAGACTGGAAAAGTTACTCTGGGATGTGATTCAGGGAGGTTATGTCAGACAATGAAAGACTGTGACTTCTAAGAAGATTCATTGTGGAGAGAGGTAAATTCCAGCTAACTGAACAGGAGAATATTTGCATCTGCCTTTCGTACAGTAATAACAAGCGTCTTGGTAGTTGGAGAAAAAGAAGGGGACAGGCTTAAATGTTTAAGAAAGAAGTCTCACATACAGACTTTTTAAGGGTAGGATGAGGAGCAATTTTAGAGCGCCTATATGCACAACAGGGAAGATGGGTATCTTTTGGGGTTCCACCCTGCCCACTCCCCTTTAGGGTTTAAGATGTTGACACGTTGCTGGAAGGAGCAAGCTGAGGGGACAAGTGGGAGGGAGAAGAGCACTATTTCTTATTTCATATTTTAATTTAGGAGTCAGAGACTGCAGATGATATTGCCTGAGGATAGTGGGAGGAAGTTTTCAGGCGTTGCCCACAGGGGAAAAAAGAAGTATTTGGAATTGTTAATGGAGATGCTGAAGGAGCAAGTGAGAGAAGAAGCAGCAAAGGAGATGAGTGCAGGAGTCAATTAATAGCATTGAGCACCATAGAAATGCAGGACAGAGTTAAGCCGTAGGCTTTAGGAAGAAAGAAGAAACGTGGGTGGAATGGAGATGGTGGAAGGGTGTCACAGGTGAAGTTCAGATAGTGGTCATAAGTACACTTTAGTGAACTTGAACTTCAGAGGCAGAAAGGGAGAAGCAGAAGGTAAGGAAAAAAGGGTGAAAGGTTTCATATGTGGAAGCATTATGAGAAGTATGCTTCTGCAGTGCTAGAAAAATGTGAAGGACAGAAGGGATTCAAGAGCAAGACCAGTTAACATGGGAAGCAATTGGGAAAATGAGCCAGCAGGAGGAATGCTAAGTGAGGAGCACACAACAGATGGGGGCAAGAAATGTATCTGGAGATGTAGAATAGGCGTGCCAATTATACTGTCTAGTTTTTTCTCTGTACATATCAAAGGGAGAACGAGTGGAGATTTGAAATGAATTTTTAACTGAGGAATTGCAAGATGACTTAACTATTTTAGGAGGAAGCAAACAATGCTGGTAGAAATGAAATGCTGACTAAAAGGAAGCTATTCGGAGTAAGGAGTGTTTAGTATAAACAAAATTTAAGATGAGTCAAGTAAATAAGTTCAAAGTGAATTAAAAATAAAGAAAAGGGAACTAGGTTATTTAACTGTGTCATGGGTTGGCATTGTGCATATGGAACGGAGGAAGGCAGGAGTGTACCAGTGACCTCTCTGCTGCCTTCAGTTCAGGGAATTGGGAAGGCAGGCCTGAACTGGCAAGTATATGAAAACAAAAAAGCATTGCTGCAGCCAATTGGATTTTTCTTAAATCTTGCTTGAGTTCAGAGTGCTATGACAACTTTATTGTGTGTTGTTTGAAATGACAGTAAATTTCATGACCACAGTGTTGAATAAAAAACACATTCAATGGGCCATATTGCCAATGCAACACTATTTGTATGATTTATTTTGAAAGACACAAAGACAAAAGTACTTGTTTTATTGATGTATAATGGAAATATCTTAGTGTTTGAGTACTCTTTGTATATACAAAGAAATTTTAAAACAACGCTTGCAGATGAAAATAACAAAGCTTACTATTTACGGCTTTGTGAAGCTTTTTAACTGTTAACTATCTAATATTCTAAAATATACTTCCTTATTTAATTTTTCTTTAGTTCATTATCACAGCTGATGCTTTTGCTTTTTATTTATCTTTCATTCAATTCCTTGTCTAAATGCTGCTCTTGAGCCTCACACTGGAACATGCTGGGAAATGCCTAACTAATGATTGACTTCTCTTGTAGTGCTTGTGTGTTCTCAATGATATTTTATAACCACTGATTAGTTATTTGGGGTGAAGGAATGACTGAAAACGAATTTTCAGGCAGGAAATTCTTAAAGGTACAGTATTTTAAAACCCCAGTGACCACTGACAGAAGACTTAAAGGCATATGCATTGACTTCTGTCTGAATTTTTAAAATAATGGCCTCCTTTCTGAAAGTTTTACCCATGCCAGGGAGTAAAAAAAAGTTTCTACTGCCATTACAAAATTTTTACCATATGTATAACAGGTAAATAGTAGGGA